CTCCTATGTTTGAGGAATAAAAGTTGAGAAGGGAGGAGAGTACCTGAGGGGAGCTGACCCTGGGACTTCTTCCAGGCTGTTGCCCTTCTCTGCTCTTTGTGAAGCTATCCCCTGAAGCATTCTGCTTCCTCACATCCTCTTCCTGAGTCAAATGCCAACAACCCCCTCCCCAGCCTCAAGAATTCTATCCACAATGTAGCATTTGTCTCTGTCCAAAGGCTCTCTGAGACTTCTGCAGGGAAGGTCTCATGTCTGCACTGTTGAGGGAAGTACCAGTGAGAGTGATGGTGATGTCTGCCACAGGCATGAGTGTACACTGGGCAGGTATTGATCACAGCTGACCTGAGCCTGACCCCACTCACATGTTCTTACATGGTTTTCCTCTAAAAGCACATGCTCCCTTCCACCTCACCTATGAAGCCTGGTTCCTTCAACCCCTCTGGCTGCCTCAATCTGACTATTCCTCAAACACCCCATTCTCCCCAGTACAGCCCCAACCCCCAAATTACATGAAGGGAAACCTACCCAAATGTGGTCAAGCTTCTCCTCCATCCATAAGCACCCAGAAGAAATACTGGGCCTGGTTGGGTAGAGGTCGCAGGGCTGAGCTGCCCACCACGAGCAATCAACAGTTCTTCTCCTAGCCCAGCTAGCTTGGACTCAGGTCACTGGCAGATGCAGCGAGCCTCCCTGCCCCAGGCCTCTCTGCCCTGACCATCCCCTTCTTGCCACTAATCTGCCCCCTGCTAGCCAGCCGGCTTTCTTCAAGGCCAGGCTCTGTTCTCCTTAATAACCACCTGGTAATTAGCTTCACAATTTTGCTGCTATGTTTATAATAGCCTCCATTAAAGTTATGGCGTTTACAAGTCATAATGTCTTCCAGAGTAATTAATGCCAAACTGGGTTTATTGCTAATTTTATTTTTAGAGCTTTTCTCCCTTTTTCTCTCTCCCTTTCTTTTCACAAGTTATTTTGACCAAAAAGACAAGATGAGATCAGAATTGTCTCTCCACTGTCCCCTGCACCCTTGCCTCCATTGTTCCCCTCCTCTTCTGCCCCTCCTTCAGGCTCTAACCCCCAGGGGATGCTAGGACTCCAGAGCATTCACAGAGGAGGGCGGCTCTGAGCCACCTCCAGTCCATTGTATTCTTGGGTCCATCTGCCACTGGCCCAGGTCTGGGGGCTCTGGGCCTGAGACCTCTCATGCTGTGCTCCTGAAGGCAGTGTAGAGACAAATGGCCAAGATTTGATGCTGGCCCCATCATTTACTAATTGTTAACCTTTGGCAAGTCATTCAATCTCTCTGGCTTCAAGGAATTCAGCTGGAAAATAGGGATAACAACATTGCCTACCTCATGAGGCTGTTAGGAGTATTCAAGGAGCAGATATAGGTCTCAGGCTTGAGATAAAGATGGTGCTCAGAAGTAAAAAATATAAAATCAGGAAAGTACACCCAAACAAGCTTCAATTTTATGTACTCAACTAGTTTGAAGCTCTTCTTTTTTTTTCATTTGCTGTCTCCATCCTGGAATCAAAAACTTCAAAGACTCAGGAGTCTTGAGAATGTTCTACAGAATCCCTGAGACATGGGAAAGAGTCTCAGCCTGGTCTAGCCTCCTTGTCCTTTGTCAAGCGTGGCCTCAGAGCACCCAACCAGAATGTGGCTGGACATTCATGTGCAACCAGAATGTGGCTGTACATTCAGAATCATGTGCAGCCCTGCCAGTGACACTGATGCTGGGAATGGGAACTAATTCTGGAGGATGTGGCTTGAGGTCACTCATTTTCATCACACTCTGGTGTGAGGCACTGAGCCAAGCTCTGCCACCTGACGTATCCATGAAAAAGGAATTTGTAGAAGATTACACACACACATGCATATGTATACACATGCATTCATATGCATACACATATACACTATAGCCATGTAGAGAAGTTAAAGCAGCAGCAATGGAAATTAATAGGCCTTAATTCCTACCTGAGACAAATCCAGGACACTCTCATGAGGACTCAAAATCAGAAAAGATCTAGCTGCTCCCATCCAGCACCTCACTGCATGTGCAGGTTTCTAGTGGAAGAGTTTCTGGTTTGCTGCAACCATCCTATATGATCAGCCATAGTTGGCCTATTCCCTACACAAGCTTCTTACATCCTCTGGTTGTGTGGGATATAAGACTAGAGCACTACACAGATTCCCAGGTGAAGGAAAGCTAAACAGTCACCATCACAACAATAACAAAAAAGCAAACCGACCAATTTTTGGTGTTTGGAAAGGCAAGTCCAGAATTGCCTAAATCCCCCCTCATAGTGTCCAAGGACAGAAACTCTAATCTCCTTATTTGTTTTGGTCAGTGAGCCACAGTCTGCCTCAAGGCATCTCAATTGTGTGGGCTTCTTCTCTGTTCCCAACTGAGGTGGCCCTGGAAGCTGCACTCTACTCTTAGGGCTTGGGAGGTCCTACCCTTTATTTGATAGCAATTGCCTTTGATTGCCAGACATTGTGCTGCGTGCTGTCACCTTCACAGCATCCCTGATTGGAAGGCACTATTGTCCCCATTTTACAGATGCGGATAATGGCTAAGTAACTTGCCTAAGCTCAATCATTAGTAAAGCCAGGCTTTGGATACAGCTCTGTGTGACTTCAAAGCTCATGATCTTGATCTCTACATTAACTTAGAGCTGGAAGGAAACTAGGAGATAATCTGGCCCAGACCCCTGCTATACTTCAAAGAAGGAAAAACTAAGGCAGAGGAGAGGTGACTTGCTCAGAGACACAGTCATCTCCAGACATGTGGCTTAGTGTTCTTTCCTTTGCAACTCTCTGCATGTTGCATAGTGGTCTCTTTTCCTACCCAAGAAGCTGGGGCCTTTCTGAGTGTGCTAGGTACATGTAAACCTACTGAGCCATTGCTAGCTAAAGCAGCCAGAGGTTTCCTCAGAACTTAGTCTTAGCAAAACAGGGGGCAAAAAAGAAGAGTGTACTTAATCAGGTAACTAGTTCCCCACAATATGTAAAATAAGCCAAATTGCTCTCCTGTCCCATGGTCCCCAAGTCAGACACAATCACACACATACATGTACATGCACACACCTATGCACATACATATATATACACACATACATATATACACAGACCCATGTACATAGACACACAAATAAATATACATACATCATTGCATGGCCACTCCATTGTTTGATCTGTGTGCCCCATTGTGGGTTTGACCTCTAGGCTGACATTTAGCCCCATTTTCCAACCATTTCAGTGATCTGGACAGTCCTGTGCACCATCTTCACAAGGACACCCTGGAGACAGAAGGGACCTCTGATGGTAAGGGGGGAATTCTGGCTGACCAGAGAAACTATAGTGCTCTTTTCAAGGGATACAATACCTAATATGTTCACTAGGTGTCAGAAAAATTTGGAGAAAAGACCAGACAACCAGAGGGAAGTACTCAGTTTCTAATACTGCAGGTCCAAAATTCTTCTTTGCCAAGGATGGGAGAACACCCTATTCAGGATGGACAGGTATGTGGTCTCTGCTGGGACCGGGAGTGTGAGCACTTCAGGGCAGGAGGGCTGTCCAGGGCCATCCTCCCCAATACACACAAACACACACACACACAATCTGCCTCTCACACAGAGCTCACAGCACCTAAGTAGAAGGAAAGAGTTGTCATTGTTGCCAGGTACTGTTGAGTCAGTTCTGACTCAGCAACATGGTGAACAACAGAACGAGATACTGCCTGATTCTGCACCTTCCTCACAATTGTTGCCATACTTGAGCCCATTACACTGTATCAATCCATCTCATTACGTCTTCCCCTTTTTTACTGACCCTTTTCTGTACTAAGCATAATATCTTTCTCCAGGGACTGCTCTCTTCTGACAACACAACCAAAGTATGAGAGACAAAGTCTGGTCTTTCTCACTTCTAAGGAGCATTCTGGCTGTACTTCCTCCAAGACAGATCGTTTGTTCTTCTACCAGTCCATGATACATTCAACTTTTTTGCCAACACCAAAACTCAAATGCATCAATTCTTCTGCAGTATTCCTTATTCATTGCCTAGCTCTCACATACACTGAAGCTATTGAAAATATCATGGCTTGGGTCAGACGCACCTTAGTCTTCAAAGTGATCTTTGCTCTTTGACACTTTAAAAGGAAGGAGTAAGAGGGCACAATGTGACAGTACTCATAGTAGTGATCAGAGGTGGCCCATACCTTATGGTTGCTCCACCTACCATCTTACACGAAGGAACAACTCAGGAGATACCCTTGCAGAGGAAATTCAAGTGAGGCTCATGTTCCTCACAGAGAGGGTACCTATCTGGGGACCTACTTCCACTGCTAGGTTTAAATAATGTTTACACATGATGTGGAACCCCTCCAAGGCTAGGTCTTCCCCATGGTGACCCCCAACCCCAGCGTCTGACATGTGGTCCACACAAAGCATCCATCAGAGTTGCCTATTGGCAGTGTTTAAGCAGGATTCTCATCGTGTTTCCTCCCAGGACTCACTCCTAAACCATCTCTTCTTTGTCCTCAAAGGACTCACACTAGCTCTGATCCCTTTACTCAAGCTCTAGAAAAACCAATCTGGGTCCAAGGAATTCATAAACATTAGCTCATCTACTCCTGAGAACTATTTTATGAAGTAGGTACCAATGTTACCCCATTTTATAGATGAGGAAATTGTGGCACAGAAATTTGATGTAACTTGTCCAAGGTCACACATCTTATTAGTGCCAGAATTATGACGTTCAGCAGGTTGTGTGTCCTTAGCCCCTCCATCCACTGACTGTCATAAATGTGCCTGTGCCATCCCCATGGTGAGGCAGGCTTGATAACCCAGCAGGGAGACAGATAGGTCCTTGAGATGGCCTGTCAAGGTCATCTTGTGACAGCCCGCTCCTGTGTATCCCAGTGCAAGCCAGGCTTTCTCCACATCCCTCACCCATGTCCAGGTCTCTGGCTATGCTTTTCTGCTCTCTCTTGCAGGTAACCACGTCCCAGGGTTCCTGACCTTGCCCTTGACAGCCACCTCTCCGCAGACTCCAGCCAGGCCAGACTCTCCAAACCTGCTTCCGCAATGGGTGGGTTGTGAGTGAGGGTAAGATCTGCTAGCCAACATTTCGGCTTCTCTGTCCTCTCTTTGCCTGGCCAGCCTGGACCATTCCTTTTCTTTTCTCCCCTGTGCTGCCACCAACCCTGCTGCTACCCCTCTCCTGACCTTGCCACCACTCAGGTAATGAGGAGCTGTGGGCTCAGCCAGCCTTGGAGATGCCGAAGAGACGGGACATCCTAGCGATCATCCTCATCGTGCTACCCTGGACGCTGCTCATCACTGTCTGGCACCAGAGCACCATTGCACCCTTACTTACTGTGCACAAGGGTAAGCTCTGCTACCCATCCATAGAGGCTTCTGTGATGAGAACAATGGCACCTGACATTGCAGGCACTTTCATTTTTACCCAGTAAGTAGTTAGGAGAACTGCAAGGGTCATCCAGGCCAATGATCTTAGCCCTATAACAACAACAACAATTTAAGATCTCTGCTCCCTTTAAGACTCCAATGAAAGCTTCCACATATAGACACAGACACAGTCACAGACACACACACACACCACAGACACAGAAAGGAAGGATGGATGGACAAGATACCTGGTTTGTATTACATTCTAAAAACTTTCAAGGACAGTATATTGTTTTCTCCTCCTTTCTTAAAACAAGAAAGAAAGGAGGAGAAAACAATATACCAATCCTACTTAGTGAAAACATGCCTGGAGAAAGGAAAAGCCCTACAGAGACCACAAAGAACTAAGGGTAGAATTGTGGCCTCTCCTGGCTCTGAGCCCACCAAGTTGCCTCTCCCTCTGCACACACAGGCTCCCTACAACTCAGACCTTCCATCTGCCCCTCATCCAGTCTGGGCTCCAATTCCTTAGTCTTTAGTATCACCTCCTCTTGTGCACAGTCTCAGTACTTAGGGTAGCCATTCCCACATAGAAACCTGCATCTTCTTACCTGGGACACTTGATAGAATATGGAACTAAGGGCCTTTCTCAGGGAGAGACAGTGGACCTAGGGAAGGGCCTGGGAGTCTACGTATCACCTGTCACCTCAACTGATGCTGACACAGCTGGTGTCCAAGAACCACTATGCTCACTGTGCTTCTCCCACAGTTAAATGGCACATCTTGCTTCCCTCCAGGATGGCTTTAGCCTCAGGGAGACAAAGCCCAGCTATAGGTGGCTGAGCCCCCACCCACTGCTGGGCCTTTAGAGCCTCTGCCCCTGAATGAAATCATCAGGTACTTCTGGCTATTGTCATCATTCTATAGATGAAAAAATGAAAGTAACTGGACAGGCAATGTTCTGAGCCCATTAATCTACATAGTAACTATAAACTAGATGCGATGATTAGCTTCATTTCACAGCTTCCAAAATTGAGGCACCAAAAGTAAAGTAATTTTCTTAAAATCATAGTGTCAGTAAGTGACAGAACCAGAATCTGAGTTTAGGCATTTGGATTCCAAAGCCTGATAATATGTAGCTGAGATAGTGTGATAATAGTGAGGATCACATTTGGGTTGTGCCTGAGTCTTCAAACAGAATAAAGTCACTTGGATACAAAGGGGACTTTAAAAACAAGAATACTAGTGGCCCTGGTTTCCTTTCTGGATAGGACTACTAAGTTTATCAATGAGGAAAATGTCCAGAATGCAAGGAAAAATGTTGTAGCAGTTAAACCTTCTCCAGGCTGACTTCAAAGAGTAATGTGTCTCTGTCGCTCCCTCAAAGCTGAGTTTCTATAAGACAAGATCTTCTATAATAGCTGTGGGGTGAAGACAGATGAATAGTGATTGGATGCTGGGAAATCTAGGTTCAGGTAGGCTCCCAGATGGAGAAATAAAAGTGCAGACTAGGAGAGTAACATAAAACCAGCAGCAGAGCTAAAATAGGTCTCCACCCTATCCTTTCGTTTACACCAAAATGCAATAATAGCTAAAACCAAGATTCAAAATCATCCTGAATGCTGTTGTTGTGGGTCTGAAATGGCTAGATCAGTTGTCCACATGACCCACCCCTTCTGATTTTAGGAGCTCTGGTGGTGTAGTGCCTAGGGCATTTGACTGCTAACCAGAAGACTGCTGGTTCCAACCCACCAGCCACTCTTCAGAAGGAAGACTGGGCAATCTATGTCCACAGAGATACTGCCTTGGAAACCCATGGAGGGGTTGTTATAAGTCAGGATCAACTCGATGGCAGTGAGTTTTGTTTTGGTTTGGTTGTTGTTGTTGTTAGGTGCCATCGAGTCACCTCTGACTCACGGTACTCTTAAGTACAACAGAACACAACACTGCTTGGTCATGCCAGCCTCACAATCCTATATTCGATCCCATCATTGCAGCCACTGTGTCAATCCATCTCATTGAGGATCCTCCCCTTTTCCACTGGCCCTTCACTTTACCAAGCATGATATCCTTCCTTCTCCAGGGAATGGTCCCTTCTGACAACATGAACAAAGTAGGTGAGACAAAATCTGGCCATTCTCACTTCCAAAGAGCATTCCGGCTGCACTTCTTCCAGGACAGATTTGTTAATTCTTCTGGCAGTCCAAGATATTTTCCATATTCTTTGGGAACTCCACAACTCAAAAGCAGCAATGTTTCTTCAGTCTTCCTTATTCACTGTCCAATTTTCATATACATATGAGGCAATTAAAAACCCCATGGCTTGGGTTATACCCACCTTAGTTTTCAAAGAGAAATCTTTGCTCTTCACCTCTTTAAAGAGGTCTTTTGCAGCAAATTTGCCCAGTGCAATACAATGTCTGATTTCTTGACTGTGGCTTCCATTGGTGTTGACTGTGGATCCAACTTATATGAAATCTTTGAGAACTTCAATATTTTCTCCATTTATTATGATGCTGCTTATTGGTCCAGTGGTGAGGATTTTCATTTTCTTGACATTGAGGTGTAATCCATACTGAAGACTGTACTATTTAATCTTCATCAGTAAGTGCTTCAAGTCACCCTCACTTCCAGCAAGCTAAGTTGTGTCATCTGCACTTCACAAGTTGTTAATGAGTCTTCCTCCAATCCTGATGCCACATTCTTCTTCATATAGTCCAGATTCTCAGATTATTTGCTCAGCATACAGATTGAATTAGTATTGTGAAAGGATACAACCCTGATGCACATCTTTCCTGATTTTAAACCATCCAGTACCCCCTTGTTCTTTTGGAACAACTGCCTCCAGGTCTATGGACAAGTTCCTCATGAGCATAATTAAATGTTCTGGAATTCCCATTCTTCTCAATTTGTTATGTTTGACTATGTTCCACACAGTCAAATGCTTTTGCAAAGTCAATAAAACACAAGTAAACATCTTTCTGGTATTCTTTGCTTTCAGCCAAGATCTGTCTGACATCAGCAATGATATCCCTCATCCTATGTCTTATTCTGAATCCAGCTTGCATTTCTGGAAATTCCCTATCAATATACTCCTGTAACCATTTTTGAATTATCTTCAGCAAAATTTTACTTGCATGTGATATTAATGATATTGTTCAATAATTTCCCCATTCTTTTAGATCACCTTTCTTTGGAATGAGTACAAATATGGATCTCTTCCAATCAGTCGGCCAGGAAACTGTCTTCCAAATTTCTTGGCATAGTGAAGTAAGTGACTCCAGCATGGCATCCAGTTGTTGAAACGTCTCAGAGTATTCTGTCAATTCCTGGAGCTTTGTTTTTCTCCAATTCCTACAGTGCAGGTTTGATTTCTTCCTTTTTGGTCATATGCCACCTCCTGATGTAGATGAACATTGACCAATTCTTTTTGGTACAGTGACTGTGTATTCCTTCCATCTTCTTTTGATATTTCCTGCATCATTCAATATTTTGGCCATCGAATCTTTCAGTATTGCAACTAGAGGCTTGAAGTTTTTCTTCATTTCTTTCAGCTTGAGAAATCCTGAGCATGTTCTTCCCTTTTGGTTTTCTAACTCCAGGGCTTTGCAAATTTCCTTGTAATAACTGACTGTCTTCTTGAGCCGCTCTTTGAAATCTTCTGTTCAGCTCTTTTATCTTGTCATTTCTTCCTTTTTTTTTTTTTTTTTTTTAGCTACTCTCTGTCCAAGAGCAAATTTCAGAGTTTCTTCTGACATCCATTTTGGTCTTTTCTTCCTTTCTCATCTTTTTAATGACCTCTTGCTTTCCTCATGGATGATGTTCTTGATGTCATTCCGTAATTTTTCTGGTTTTTGGTCATTCATATTCAATGCATCAAATTTATTCTTTAGATGGTCACTAAATTCAGGAGAGATATATTCAAGGTCATATTTTGGCTCTTGTGGACTTGTTTTAATTGTCTTCAGCATCAAGTTGAACTTGCATATGGGCAACTGTTCAACAGTCAGCTCCTGGCCTTGTTTTGGCTGAAGATAATGTGCTTTTCAACTCCATGTTCCATAGATGTAGTTGATCTGATTCCTATGTATTTTATCCCATGAGGTCCATGTGTATAGGAACCATTGATGTGATAAAAGGTATTTGCAATGAATAAGACTTTGGTCTTGCAAAATTCTATCATGTGATCTCCAGTGTCATTTCTATCATGAAGGGCATATTTTCCAACTAGTGATGATTCCTCTTTGCTTCCAACTTTCACATTCCAATCACCAGTAATAATACATATTGATTGCATGTTTGGTGAATTTCAGACCACCACTCATCTGTCAGTTTTTTGTACTGTGGTGACTTGGATGTTGTTGTGAGGATAGAAGCTATGCCAATGGTATTTCAAATACCAGCAGGGTCATCCATGGCAGACAGATTTCAGTAGAGCTTTCAGACTAAGAAGAAGGAAAAGGCCATCCAATTTTCAAAGAATTGGCCAATGAAAACTGTATCCTGAATTCTATGGGCAAAATTCACTAGAATAAAAGCACTAGTTAAATCTAAAAATATGGCAATATCAAAACCAAACTCACTGCCATTGAGTAGATCTAACTCATAGTGAGCCCCTTTGGGTTTCCAAGGTGGTAAATCTTTACCAATGTAGATTACCCAGTCTTCCTTCTATGTGGAATGACTAGTGGGTTTGAACAACCAACCATCTGTTCAGCAGTCAAATGCCTTAGGCACTACGCCACCAGAGCTCCTCAAAGACATAAGGCCAGATGAGAATGACTCTGCTTAACGAGAGAGGTTGTGAAGAAATATGGGGAGCACTTGCAGCAAGTATGCTGCAACCACATAAACTCAACCCCACATGATGGGCCTGACAGCTGCTAACTTGAAAAGAGTGGCAGTCCCATTGCTCTACACTGGCCAGAACCTGTGCAGAGCAGCACAGTGGGCTTCAGACCATTAGGAGAGTGTGAGGCTGGTGAGGGTCTGGACACTTTGACATGTATAAATCCCATATATTTAGGAACTAAGGATGGAGTCAGCTTCATTCAAATAGTTACAGGGCTATCAAGAGTGAGGAGAGGGAAGAGGCCATTCTGTGTTCAGAGTCAGAACTTGGAAAATCCCCAGAACTCCAGGGCTATGGATCTCAACCCCAGACACTTAAAGCTGGAGTCAAAGCCTGTTGGCATGTGTCCAAGAACAAGGGGGAGAGGGCTGTCAGGAAGGGAGGTCTCCCTTTATGTATCTGGGTGGGTCAGAACCTAGGTCTAGCACTCCCTTCTCTACACTGTGCTGCTTTCCCATTCACGCAGATGACGGGAATGATGCCAGGCACATTGCGCCAGGCTCGGATCCCAGGGAGTACTGCATGTCTGACCGTGACATTGTGGAGGTGGTCCGGACTGAGTATGTGTACACACGGCCCCCGCCGTGGTCGGACACGCTTCCCACCATCCATGTGGTCACGCCCACCTACAGCCGTCCAGTGCAAAAGGCTGAGCTGACTCGCATGGCCAACACGCTGCTACACGTTCCCAACCTGCACTGGCTGGTGGTGGAGGACGCACCCCGGCGCACGACGCTGACAGCTCGCCTGCTGCGTGACACAGGCCTCAACTACACACATCTGCACGTGGAGACGCCCCGCAACTACAAGCTGCGAGGCGATGCCCGTGACCCTCGCATTCCCCGTGGCACCATGCAGCGCAACTTGGCTCTGCGTTGGCTGCGCGAGACCTTCCCCCGCAACTTCAGCCAACCTGGCGTGGTATACTTCGCAGACGATGACAACACCTACAGTCTGGAGCTCTTTGAAGAGGTGGGGCAAAGGCTGAGGGTGGTGTGGGGGCAGACAACCAGGCAAGAACATTGAAGGAATGACCAGAGGTTTCATGGCACCGATGCAGGGGCCTATGGCGCGGGGAAGTTGGAGGTTTGGGATTGTGCTCTGGGTGGAACATTGTGGGTGTGGGTAAACAGACACCAGGGAAAGGAAGGTTGCCATGCTTGGAATGCAGATGGTAGAGAAAGGAAGGGATGGAGTAAAGTTTACTGCAATGATAGCAACTCCAACTCCTTAGGGAAGAAATTAATATCTGAAACTCCTAAGTCTATCGGAAACCTCTTGTGGAACAACAGTTTGGGCTTCCTTCTGGTTTATGGGCATGGTAGCCAGAGGTGAGGCAGAAGAGTCACTCAGGTTCTAAATGGTGAGAGGGTTGGAAGCAAACGGAATGATTGGGCAGTAGGGCTGTGTGGAAAAGAGGAGGCCCACTGGACCTGTGCAGCTTGGGGCAGTTCTTCGCAAGTAGATGGAGTCTGTAGGCAGAGACACAATCAGATACCTAGCAAATTTCACTGCGATGGGGGTGGGGCTCACCTGACCAGCATATGCTTTCATTTGTAGATGCGAAGCACCAGAAAGGTGTCTGTGTGGCCAGTTGCCTTCGTTGGTGGTCTCCGATTTGAGGCACCTCGGGTGAATGGAGCAGGGAAGGTGGTTGGCTGGAAGACAGTGTTCGATCCCCACCGACCATTTGCCATAGACATGGCTGGATTTGCCGTCAATCTACGGCTCATTCTTCAGCGAAATCAGGCCTACTTCAAACTGCGGGGTGTTAAAGGAGGCTACCAGGAAAGCAGCCTTCTCCGAGAACTTGTCACCCTCAGTGACCTAGAGCCCAAGGCAGCCAACTGTACCAAGGTAGGTAGGCTCCTCAGCATAATTGGTCATCATAATACAAGTATGTCCAAGCCCATCAAACCCTGCTTATTGATAAAGCAAAAACCAAACTTGCCATCAAGTCAATTCTGACTCATAGTGACCCCCATTGGGTTTCCAAGGCTGTAAGTCTTTACAGAAGCAGACTGCCTCATCTTTCTTCCACAGAGTAGCTGGTGGGTTTAAACTACCAAATGATGTATGGTTAGCAGCCAAATGCCTTAACCACTACATCGCCTGAGCTCCTTGCTTATAGATAATGGAGGAAGAAATAAGGCCTCAGAATGGCCTGGGAAATAAGAACAAGCTGCCTTCATTATCTAATACTATTATAACAGAAATAGCACAAATGGATGGCTTTAAAAAACAGAAATTTATTCTCTCACGGTTTAGGAAACTGTAAGTCCAAATTCAAGGTGCCAGCTCTAATTGAAAGTTTTCTCTGTCAACTCTGGGAGAAGGTCCTTGTCTTCTTTTACCATCTATAGGTCCAGCATCCCTTGGAGATCTCCATGTGTCTTAGCATGAACCCTCCCCTAGGAAGTTCTCAGCACAGGGACCCCAGGCCAAAGGACTTGCTCTGCCCTCAGCTCTTCCTTCTTGTTGGTACTGCAGTACTTCTTTGTTAGCTTCTCTCTTCTTTTAGTTCTTGTAGGATACAAAGTGACATGGGCCAAACCTCCTTACATCAGGTCAGGGCTGTAACCTAAGTAAGGGTGTTGGATTCCACCCCTCCAAAGTTCTCCTTACAACTGACTGATCACATCAGATCACATTATGTAGGATGATCATATCACTATGTTGTTGTGTTGTAATATTCTGTCGAGTTGATTTTGGCCCATAGCAACCCCTCCTTGGGTTTCCAAGGCATTATCACTACAGAAGTAGATTGCCCCCTCTTCCTTACAAGGAGTGGCTGGTGGGTTTGAACCACCAGCCTTCTGCTTAGCAGTCAGATACCTTAGGCACTACACCACCAGAGCTCCTATACATCATTATATCATTGCCAAATGACATCATTGCATAACTACCAAACCACTGAGAATCAAGGCCCAGCCAACTTGACACATATTTTTTTGGGGAACACATTTCAATCATGACACCACCCTAGAGACATACCTTCCTGAAATTTTCTTATGGCAGCCATAAGAAAATCAGATGTGGAGATGGGAGGAGCCAGTGTTTGGTGAGTTATAACCAAGGACCTCATCTCCCCCCTCAAAATAGTCATGCTCCTCAACTCCTTGCCAAAGAAACACACACACACACCTACATGTGCATGCATGCGTGTGCATGCACACACACACAAACACCTTTTACTTGGGACTTCTCGGACTAGGGCCAGGGCTATTACTTGGCTGAGGTGAAGATTCCTGAAGAATCTCTCTCTCTCTAGAGAAATCATCAAGAAACCCAGGGGAAGAAATCTTGGGACCTGTTTGTCTGTGTTCTATAGCTGCAGATTTCATGGTTCCAGCAGATATTCTGAATGTATCCCATGGCAAATAACAGGAATGAGGGAGTCAGCAGAAATAAAGAACAAGAAAACTTGACAGAACAAAGGCTGGGGGCTGGAGTGGAGAAATGCTTTGTGTGAGAGGGAGAGAGGGACAGGCAGTAGCCAAGGCCCACCCACTTTGCTATGTCTCTGGACACAGATCCTGGTATGGCACACACGGACAGAGAAGCCAGTGCTGGTGAATGAGGGGAAGAAAGGCTTCACGGATCCCAGTGTGGAGATTTGACCACGGGGACAGGTATGAGGAGATGAGGGCAGGGTGAACCAGCAAGAGAAACAGAGACAGCTATAGGACTCAGCACCAACCTCCTAGAGGCTTTCCTGATGGCCCATCAATTGTGGGAGGGTGGGGCAAAGCAGGGTAAGAGAGAGGCCAGCTGAAGGCTTCCTGTCTGCCGGTGCCTCTGAAACTCAGCAGGTGCTGACTTTCTCGTATACAGCCAGGTCCTTCTGCCCCCAGACACCTTCTAAACACCACCTCTCAGCAACTTATTACCATTATTACTATGATTCTGGTAATCCCAAGGAACCTCTACTGAAACTGTAACTCCCCCAGGTCGTACCTGCCTAAATCTGCCTCTTCCCCTTTGAATTCCTGCCTTGGATCCTATTGTTGGAATAAGGACCATTTACACAGAGTTTTTCACCTTATAAATCATGCCCATGTGTTACCTGAGATCCCAGTCCTGTCACTTTGATCTTTATTGACTTAAATTTTCTGGGTCACAGTTTCCTCATCTGTAAAATGGGTTGTTGGGGACACTGAGGTTAGTCATCACCACATAACAAGTCCTATGTAAATGTTGCTATTTTTTTTTTTTTTCTAAACTTGAAGTAGGCCAGAATGTACCTCTATCTGCATTGTAGAGGTAAAGGTGTCCAGAGAAATTAAATGACTTGACTTGTCTAAGACACATCGAACAATTCATAAAGCCAGGATTTTTCTATGAACTTTTTCTATTATCTCAACCTGCCTCTTGAGAGCACCCCGTACTTCTAACTTTCTATTCTAGGTTATGTCAAACTGGAGTAGGAACTCTAACAGTAAGACATGCATCTCTCCCTCTGCCCCTGGAGTGAACAAGTTTCTGAATTACATTTATAATAATCCTCCCCTCAGCGGACCATAAGCTGTCACTCTATTTTGTTCCCTGAATGCAAAACTCACCTTTGCCAATTCCATTTAGAATGCTTCCCACCCTAACTGGGACCCTGAGAAAGCCCTTCTGAGGCCCCTGAGACCTCAGTGAAGTGCCTCAGAACATCCTGGGGGTTGGTTCCGTAGTGCTCCTGGTGACCTGTGGTCAGGGGCTTGGCCTGCATGGCCATTCCTCATCCCTGCTCCTGTGGCCTCATGGCTCTTACCAACCCTCCTCTCCCTCCACAGGAGCCTCCTTCTCAGGCCCTGTTCTTGGCCTGCCAACCCTCTCCCATGGTTGATGGTCCCTCCAAGGCTAATTCCTAAGGAAACACCATCACCCTCCTTTGTAAGTTGGGGGCTCCAGAGAGGGCCCAGCCTAATGCCAGGATGAAGGACAGATAACTTAAAGCACAGAAACTCCAGACCTGTTGTTCTCTTCCATCCAACATGACCAAGGGCCCAAGAGAAGCCTACCTGCACGCCAACCAGGCCAGCCCACATGGGCATCCCAGCAGTCTCTGAAGAGGCCTTGCCCTCACAGCCTACCAACGATGCTGCTGCAGCTCCCACACAAATGATGGGAACTGAGGGATGGGCACACCTGGCCCTCCTTGCTTCCTGCTGCAGGCCCAGTGGCCACACTGGACCTCAGTCAGGGAACTCTGAAGACAGCAGAGCAGCCACTGGGCAAAATGGATACCCACTCCCACCTCATTCCCCTTACCAAGGGCTGCTTCCAAAGCAGACATACCTCCTGGTTTTCCTTTGGTTCATGTTTACAGAATGGGCTGCCTGGATCCCAACAGGCTCTGGATGAGGGCTTATGCCTGGCAACAGGCTCCATATTCCTCAGGCTGGAGTGGGAACAGCAGCCCTTCCTCTGACCCCATGTTCCCCAGCCTTCTCCTCCAGCACCAGAGAGGAGGTGGGTACCAGAGCCAGCACAGGCACTGACAGGACCTGGACTAAGAAATCACATGACTCACTGTCCACAACACTGCCTCCCTGCCCCCCAGGCTCTGATAGTCCTTGCCCACCCAAAGGGGAGGAGACCAGGCCCAGGTGAGAAGCCTGAAGAAAAGGGTGGTGGGGGAGGGTCCCACAGCTACCGCCTTTTCCTTGGTTAGCAGTAGGGTTTAGGGAGAGAGGGCAGCATTCATTTGGACACTAGAGGAAAGGAGACCTGAGCACACTGCTTTGGAAATTATTGTTTAAAACACAAACTGTGAAGAAAATAAAGCCACTTCTCCCTGCAAGGGGGGCATCTAGAGCAAGCCCACTTCCTCCCCAGCTCCTTGTCCCCTTGCCCTCAGAGAAGAAGCAATGACCTAGGTGACTGATGCCCAAGCCCCACCACCAAACTCACCATCCCCTGGGCTCCCCCTTCTTCTGGTCCCAGGTTTCTCATTAGGGATGGTGACCATTGAGCTCATGTTCTTGAAAGTTGCAAGCACAATTTTCCTTCCAAGTGAAGAAAAAGGGAAGGACCCTACTGAAGCAGTGTTAATTTTTAACTCCTTAACAGCTCCCCCTCTATTTAAGCTCACAAGATAGGTCTGCAAGCTGTTCAGAGCACACTCCTGGGTGGGTGGAACTCAGGTCAGCAGATACCACCTTCAAACACAGCACTGGCTCCTATTAAAAATGCATTTCATTTCCCATAATATTCATGAAGTCATCTGATGGGGATCAGGCCCTGAGACCCACGTCCCTTGTAGGACATTTTCCTGACTTCTCACACCTCTCACAGCTGCTTTGGAATAGGCCCCCTGTAATTAAACAAGTGGTGGGGAGAGTAGGGAGGAAAGGGGTGCAGGCAGCCACTGATGCACGAGTCTGTGCTCAGGGCCCCTGAGACCTCAAGCACAGTGGAACCAGCCCTGAATGCCTGGACAGCTTGGTTGGCCTTAGGCAACCTTCTTAGTCAAAAATGCAGGGCTCATTTCCAGGCTATTGATAATAAACAACAAAATGAGACATTCCTTTTAAAAAAAATAATAATAACTTTTTTTTTTTTTCAGATGCTAGTTCAGTTATTTTCCCCTATTATCATCTTTTAGCTGCATGTATATTTATTTATAATTACCACCTTGATGGACTGCAACCTTCATCTTTGTTCGGAATGAGTATGTTATGAATCAGAACTGGGCCCATGACTGTTTTTTTTTTTTTTTTTTTCTAAGCCTGGTCTGTCCCCTGCTCCTCATCACAAGCCCTGCCCTAGAAAAGTGGTGCTGGAGGTGAGGAGCCCCAAGAATGCAGCCCGGGTGGAGGGGGCCATGTATTTGCATCTCTGGTCTCTTCTAACTTAACTGTATTTAATTTGTTTTAAAATTAAATGTCAAATATTGTTTTTAACAGCCCTAATCCTCCTCAGCCATGTCTTGTTTTAGTCTCATTTATTAATTTAACCACTCAGCAAATATTTTTCAGGTGCCTACTATGGACCAGATATGATTCTAGGAGCTAGCATAGGAAAAACAACAACAAAAAAGTCAGTCTGTTCTGACTCATTGCACCTCATATGTGTCATTATAGAACTGAACTCCATAGGGTTTTCAATGGCTGTAATCTTACAGAAGTAGATCACCATGCTTTTCTTTCATGGTGCCACTGGGTGGATTTGAATCACCAACTTTTATGTAAGAAGCTGAGTACAAACCATTTGTGCCACCTAGGTACCTAGGAACTAGCACACAGCTGTAAAAATACAGTATTTGCTTTCATGGAGTTTACTTTCCAAAGAGAAGACACAATAAATCTATAGTATTTCAGATGTGATCCATTTTAAGAAGAGAAAAGCAGAGTAAGGGGTAGAGTGTAGGGCTAGGAAAGGGGCTGATATTCCCTATCAAACTCAAACTCTCACTGCTGTCGAGTTAGTTTCATAGCAATCCCTCCTTGGGTTTCCGAGGGGGTATCTCTACAGAAGTAGATTGCTCAGTGTTCCTTCCGAGGAGTGGCTGGCGGGTTTGATCCACCAGCCTTCTGGTTAGCAGTCAAATGCTTGAGGCACTATGCCTATAGGGTAGTTAAAATGCCTCACTGGAAAGGGGACATCTGAGCAGAGGAGTGATATGCAGCCATCTTGCTTACCATGTTCTTGGAATACAGCTCTCTCCAAGGTGGGAGAGTGGTTGGTATGTTTAAAGTGCAGCAAAAAGATCAATGTGGCTTCAATTGAGTGGGCAGTGAGGGGAGGCAGTGGTGAAAGACAAAGTGAGACATGTAGAAGGGGGCAAATGGTGTTTTCCTAGGAACCAGTGTAATTATTTTGGTTTTTACTGAATGACACCCTCCAAGTCATTGGAAAGTTTGGGGCAGAGGACTGACATGATCTATATGACCTAAGGAGCAGGGGACAGACCAGGCTTACTGGACGGACAAAAACAGGAGGGCAATGGAAGGCCAGAGGAGGTGGTTATGGAAGTGACCCAGGCATGAGATGGTGGTAGAATGGACAGGGAAGAGCACTACGGCAGAGAGAAGGACTGGGTTCTGGATATATCTAAAAGTTAGAACCAAAGGATGTGCTGATAGATTGGACTGGGAAATGAAAGTCAGGAGTCAAAATTAGTCTGAGAAATAGGAAGGACAGAATTGCTATTTTCCAATATGGGCAGCATGTCAGAGGGATAACATAGTGGAAATCATGAGTACAGTTTCATTGCTAATCAGATATCCAAAGTAGAGGGGGTGAAAAGGCAGATGCAGTGACCTGGAGATAAGCCAATGGAAGATCAGGTTGGAGACAAACACTGGAGAGTACCAGGATCAAAACTGCTGTGGGCCAGAAGATGGCCTGCAGTGTATATGGACCAAGACCTGGGGACACATTGGGATTGTGAGGAGGGGTTATCAGGAAACTGCCATAAGGTCACAAAGTGGGAAAGGTCTGGACATGAAGCTTTTTGTCAACTCTGCAGTACAATCTCTGCCACAGGGTGCTTTAATGGTTTGGCAGATGGAAAGACAGAAATAATAAGTGGGGCAGAATGACCTCACTTTACGAAAGTGCGAATGCTTCCCTGCTCAGATTTGCATAAAAAATAATTCAAGGGGATCCTTCACTGTGCAGTGAAAGGACTCATAAGATTTCTTTAAATTCCTGTTCCCTGTCTTATTCCCAACAGAAGCCAACATCTTAGCATTGTGCTTTCAGTTCCAAGGCAGCTCAGGAGGAGTTAGTAAATTTGGACAAAATTGGGGTGTTTGCCCCACCTTGCTCCCAGGCATCATCCAAGAACTTCCCTTTGATAGTAAGCCCGTTTCTCTGCTGTGGGATTTTTGAGTCAACTGTCTATGATTGTCTGTTTTGTCCTTGACCCCATCCAGCACTTGACCCTGGTGGCTGCATGCCACATATACTTCCCTTGACATGGTGGTGTGTGGGGGAGGCTTCTTTCCTCCATAAAACATAGAGGTGCAGTCTCCAGGGCCTCTGAGGGCTTCAGGGTCCATGCTACCTCCACCTGATTTTTACTGAGCTGCTGTGGGCATAGGCCTGGCCTAGATGTCTGTTACTGGACTGTGACGATTCCTGAAGATCATTTCTTTTTGGCAACAGAAGTGTAGTTTGTGCAGAAAATTCAGATACTGGAGCTAATTTAGCTCTTGGCTGTTCAACAGGTTCCTGTCCTTCTGCTCCACAGTGCCTAAAATGAATTTATGTCTGACCTCTCCTACTCCAGCCCAAAGTAACATTGCAAGGGAATTGAGGTCAGGAAGGCATTGTAACCCAGGAGCATGGCTCATCCACTAATTGGGTAGTCATTTTCATGGACACCAGCTGGGCTGAATGTGTGCCCAAACCAACTGCTTACTTCTCTGGTTAATAATGGCACAGATGAGATCAATGACATTTCACCAAAGAGGACTCAGTTAACTCTATTACTTTATTGCAATTCAGAACAAAGAACCTGCACCAATCCATTGGACTAGATAGATCCCCAGAATGAGCATTTCAAACTTGGAATATGGAGATGATTGTGGAGAAGGCTATTATTCCTGAGCTGCTTGGTCATAGGAGGTATACGAGGGAGACAGAAGGTGGGGGGGGGTAGGCCGGACGGGCCTATGGGCCATGACTATCCCAACATTCCCAGGGAACCCCTGCCCAATGCCAGCTGAGTATCCTGGGGGCTCAAATATGGGGGACTGTTCCTGTTAGGATCTGTATTTCCTTCTCAAATTATGCTTCTTTACTGTAATTGAGCAAAGCTGGAAAGACTCTCTAATCAGGAAAATTAGTGGTTGGATATTTCTCTCTGAGGCTTTTGTTTGTCCACCTGTCAGAGCAGTTAGAGTGGGAACAAGAAGAAAACATGTCTCTCAAACAGGGTGTCCTCCCGAACCTCAGGGATGATGGAGGGGATCATGAAGAAGAAACAAAGTCAACATGGGTATGATGTCCTCCCCTACTCTGTCTTCTACAAATGGCCTCAATCCCATTATCTCATAACAGAAGAGGGACTAGCAGACATATGGCAAAGCCCAGCTGAGAAGACTCCATCAAAGGAACATGTCATTTCTTGAGCCAGGAACTATGCCCAGCTCATCTCCTTGTCCATTTTTTGTGGGCCCAGGTGTTAACCACATGCAATATGATTAATTAAAGTCTCCAAGCCCAGAGGGACATTATTCTGTCTTCACCCAGATGAGGAGTCAAGATAGCTGCCACTAATAACTGCCTAGGCATGCAAGTTTCCCTCTTGCCTCACAAGCCTTTTCTTCAGTCCTCTAAGATGTAGGGTCTGGAGTGGAAGCAGAGTGGAAGCAGCAGAGGTGGAGCCACTCAGCTCTGAGGCTGCTACTTGAGGATGCTGTGCTGCATGGGGTGGGGGTGGGGGTGTGAAGGAATAGCGTCCGCCGGCTGGTCAGCAGGAGGATGGCAGGGGCTGCTCAGTTAATGTACTGGTTCCTGCCTAGGTGGGGTGTTTCTGTGAACTGTATCACTGGGCCTGCCATCTTCTCCTCAAACACAATGACCTGAGAAAGAGAGCATGGCTGGGGTATGATGGCAGCTGAGCTCAGTCCTGACAAAGCCAGGTGAGAGGCACCAGGGCAATAGCTTAAGGGACCTTAGGCTGTAGGAGCTTAAGAGAAGGGTGAGGAGCTGGGCTGGAAGGAAAATGGACCAAAAGTTCATCTGCAATGAGGAATATGGAAGAAGAGCTGGCACATCTGCTCACTCACTTACCCTAACCAATCTTTAGAGCTGGCACCTAAAGGGCCCAGAAACACATTCTGATACCCAAGAGTACAGGCAGAAGGGGCCACAAGGAGCACAGTCAGTTTCCAATGAGAGTTGCCCCACAAACAACAATCCAGAAGAAGCTGAGGCCATTTAGAAGCATATCCTTGTGTTCAGGATTGCTGTGGTCTAATTTCCTGGTTTGAAAGCTGAAAGAGGGCACAGCCTTGACACATCCCAGGGCCACTGAGTCATTTGTACCATTAGGCCTACCAATCTTCAGGCTTTTCCCTTATGTCTGGGAAAGGAGGTCTGGGAGTCTTAGACAAAGGGAAGGAGGCTGGATGTGTTCTCACCTGGTTGATACCTGGGTCCAACCAGGCACCTGGGAGGTAGAGCGTCTCTTGGGGTCCAATGTTCCAGTATCGTCCAAGGTTTTGGCCATTGATGAATACAACCCCCTTTTCCCAGCCCTTTGGGAAGAGTAGGGAGTCAACCATGAAAGCCACCAAATATAACATCACACAGGAAGGCAGAGTTAGTCATGGACCACACATGCTTCTCCCTTTTCCAGGACACTGAGGGGAGCCAGGCTTTGACAACTATGAGGGCTGGGGTTCTTCTGCCTCCAGTTCCAATTAGTCCCAAGCTCTGAGGCATGGCACCCAAGCTCAGACTGAAAGTAGGAACATGGACCCTGAGAAGCAGCCCCACCAGGTGCCAGGTATTCTACATTGAGCTCCACCACCCTGGGAGGCCCCAGTTTTCAGAGAGGGCAATGTAGAGGCAAGGAGACCTCTGACACAGACACTATCAAGGATACCTGTCAAGGCCAAGCACAGTGTGCTTTAATTTCAGAGTCCTTGTTTGGAAGGTAGGCAGGGAAGTGTGGCTACAAACCTCCAGCTTCAGAAAGGTGTCAGAAGGGGAAGGACCAACTGACAAGCCACTCAAGAAGAAAGCAGGAAATGTAGGTTCTTCAGGGAGAGAGCTCCACTTGTTGATGCTGAACCTAAGGGTGGAATGAGGGCACAAAAAGGAAGAAAGCACTCTCTCAGTCTGGCCCCAGGTCTGCATCTAATTCCAAGGTTCTCAAGGCCCTGCTTCTGTAGCAAGGGTAAAAGGATGGCAACAAGTGGTATAATGGAAAACAGTTCAGTCTGAAAACACTGCTGCTGCCCCTCACCTTGTGAAAGTCACCTTGACTCTCTTGTCTGTTTACACATCTGGAGAATATGAAGAAGGTCATGTGTTCCTAAGGGCCTTGCTGCCTCCTATGAATTTCCCGAGTTCACACCCTGGCCCAGGCAGGTACTCACCTCTGAAAGAAGCTCTTTTTCATATCCAGGCTGTAGATTCTGAATTTTTTCAGGGGAGAACCATCTAGATAGAGGTCTCCAATTAAACCTATAATAAAGAGGCAAGGGGGCATGAGGAAGGCCAAAGGTGTGAAGTGCTGACCAACTATGGCCAGTGCCAAACATGGGAAACTTGGTGGGATTTCTCCTGGAGCATATACTGCCTAAGGAGTTCTTCACTCGGCATCAGACCTTCCCTAGAAATCCCAAAGTGTTTGAGAATGGTTAATATCAAAATTTGTTAGGCTTAGGATTTGCCATGGGAGAAGGAGGCAGGACAGGGCAGTGACAGAGCCTAGAAAACTTCAGGGAGGATGTCAGGATAGTGATAACAGTCTTCTGGCCTCTGTGAGGGAAGCTCTCTTTTGGAGGCTGGAATTCCAATACAGAGTAGAATGAGGCCAAAGGGTAGATGACCAAGAGATCACTGGATTTCTTGCCTAGCTTCAAGGGTCAGTTCAGGCAGCATCCCATAATAAATGGACCAAATAACTCAGCAGAAATCTTCTACATGACCTGGGATCAAAGAAATTTTAAAAAAGCATTTAAGTTGAGAGCAGTTGGCAAGATTCCTTGGGTATCAACTCTGAGGAGGGGAGCAAACTTGAGTAGCAGTTAGTGCCTTTGGGATTGGTCAGTTATGTCAGTCCCAGAGAGGCTTCAATGACCATCTTGATCAAGGTGATCCTCTTGACCATGGAGTTGCTGAGATGCCAGAGCAGAAATTTGGATTCATGGGGCCTGAAGATACTCTTAAATCATAGGACCCAATGTGGCAAAAGTCATACCATTTTTGGAAATTAAGTCTGTGCCTGTGATTCAAAGAATCGGAATTCCAGTGAGCGTCCAGGGACTTTGACCAGGGGCCAGGAACTGCATGGACTTGGAGCCAGAGTCATGCTTGGAGTCCCTTCCAATCACCAGGAGAAAAAAGGGACATAGAGCTGGGCCTGAAGAGGCAGGTTGCTGAGGGACAGGATTAGGACTTAAAGAACAATACCAGATGTAGGGAAAAGGGAAGGTGAGCCTAAGCAATGCTGGCAGCTACAGTGAGGCCCTCTGGAAAAGCCCAGATCCCAGGACTCAGGAAGCTCTGATGACTAGGCCACAGTGCTTCTCTGGAAAGTGACCAGAAGGTTCTTCTTGGACATTGCTGGAATTTTGATCAAAGAAATGTACAAGGAAAGGAAAAACCTGGAGGGAACTGGGAGTCTCCCAATCTTCCTTGCCACAGTGTTAACTTATTTTGTCTGAATGTGCTTTTTCTAACTTCTCTGAAATCACCCACACTTTGATAGACACATAAAAAGAAGGAAGAGCTAAATTAAAAGATAGAAGATTTAGAAGGCCAGGAAAAATAACACGAGCAGTGGGTTATTCTTAGAAGCATGCCACCCAAAGAGCATTGTGTTTATTTTAGGTGTTGCCACTTCCTCTCCTCAACAAATGGGATTCCCTAGACAGATCAAGAAGAGAACTTCAGTGTGGGGGCCCATGCCCTTCTCTTGGATTGCTGGGAATCCCTTTGCTTACTACCCAGCCCTGCTGCCCAGCTAAAGCAGACTGCAGCCCAAAGAGAATTAGAGAGAATGGCTTAATATCCCTATGTGTCCATCATGAACAGTGCTAATACAGAGTGAGGGACAACAGTCAAAGCTCAGCTGAGCGTCTCTGGGCCTGCAAATCTTACTTCAAGATGGGTCAACTCATCCATAACTCACCCTAGAGGGCCTCCATGACCCCACTCCACTCCAAGAGGCCTCCACGTCCTGCTATCATGCTGATTCAGAGAAGAGCTAGCCAAACATATGCTATGTACTAAGTAGTGGCAGCTCTTCTCCCTACATGTACTATGACCCACCTTTGCGCTGGTCATTGATATTTTCACCATAGTTGACTCGCCCACGATTCTCCACCAAGATCCTCAGCACAGTGTAACCCTGCCAGGAACAGAGTGGCCCATGATGATTGCCTGATAATTCAGCCAAAAGGTCACCACTACAACTCAGGGATCTTTTGCTGAATCCCATTTTTCCCTTTAGCTCTGAGGATAGATATGAAAGAGTCCAGTTGAGTAGAAAGCAACACTTTGGCCTCTCTTCACTCTGCACTCTGTGGCTAAAGAGCCTCCTGTTCTAGGTCTTCCTCTTTGACTCCCCCCAAACTTGTTCCTTGACTCTACATCATTCCAATGGGCATCCTGACCCAGGGAAAGCAGGTGATGTAGCCATTACCCAGCTCCCTAGGAAAACAAACCTGGACCAAGGGGATATCAATCTTTTTATTGTTATAGTCCAAGTATCCTATGGATACTGTATTCACAAACACCTGCATAAAAGAAAGGAAGCATACATAGGTCAGTAGGAAGAGAAAGACAGGAAGAAGGGATCTTTGCTAAACACAGGAAGAGGTCAACACTGGGTGTGCATATGCTGAGAGGGGTTTTGGCCAGGTACAGAACACACGTTTCAATCTGAAAGGGCTGTACGGCTGACTGTGATAGGGCATTTTGACATACTGTACAGAGGGTCATGTGAGCTCCCTGATCAGTACTGAGGACAGAGTCAGGGCATATTTTAGGACTGATCATTAAAGAATGTCACAGGAACTAAGGAAAGACACGTCTACCTGTCCCCGGTCACGCACAAGACCACTGAGGATTCCAGATGAGGAGATAGTGGTTTCATACAGAGTATACCCAAATGACTGTCCATTCCCATCATTTACTGGCAGGTTCTCCATGTTGACTGGATTCTCAGACTTGATTGGCTATGTATAAAAGAGATAGCACTAGGCTGAGGAGAAGGAAGCCAGCAGCCTTTCTGGAGCCTTTCTGAGGAGTATAGGGAATAGAAAGAGCTTCACCTGGAGGTGGGGTAGCTAACATTTCTTCTATTTTGATTTCTCATTACACAAACTTATGGACTTCACATGTGGAGCCCATCAATTTACCAGCTCTAAAATTCTGATTTTGATTTCGCATTATACTAAATGCACTGATCTCCAGAGTCAGGAGGATAAGGGACATGTAATAGTAAATAGTAGAATAAAACCTGCAAACACATGCACTTGAACTGTTAAGTCACTGTCATTTGTGCACACAGCTTCTCTAAGTTAGTTACAGTAAGTGCCCCCTTTACAAACGGAGGCATAAAACCTGAGGGAGGAGCCACTCTTGCCTCCCCACCCTCCTAATCTGTCCCAGGCAAAGACAGCACCAGCATAACACTGGAGGGGAATTCCTGCTGTGGTACCCATATTTTCTTCAAGTTTTTTTTCCTTCCCATTTCATACTCTAGCATGAGTTTGTCCTCTACCATGAGGTCAAAGCTAGAGAACAGAAACAAAGCTATCAAGAACTGGATTTCCTCCTCCCCAGTAGCACCTCTCTGGCAGGTGTCTTGCTCTGGTCTAACTTCACTTTCCATGCTCACCCACCTCATGACTGTCCCTGCCCCATGCCAGGCAGTGCTCACCTCCCCCATGTACTTCAGGGCATCCCAAAGGGATAGGTAGAATGCTGGCATTAGTGGTTCATATGCAGTCTTGGGAAGAAGGTCAGGTGGGGGGAGGAGAGGGGCACCTGAAACACAAATAGACCACAGGGTCATCCCCGAAGGACCCAAAACAGTCACTGACTCCTCCAACCTTGCCAAGACCCACCTCAACCTACTCTTTATCTAACAACCAATAGAAAAATGATCCTTCTCAGAATATGCCTAGGAAAGCAATGCTAGGGGGTGGGAAGGGGCTTTCTTATATCCATGAGAGTCTCAACACCCATGAAACACAAAGGTGAAGCTAGCAGTACAGAAACTGTGTTAAAGCTTTTCAGTCTCCCAAGTGTTCTTATTCTTGTACCACCCTTATGCACACAAATCCACTGGGGTTGAGGTACTGGGAGGAAGTAACTCTGTTAGAGTGTCGCAATTAAAGCAAGGGCCAGAGCTAGTACCAGAGTTGGTCATTTGCTGGATACCTGAGAAGGAGCCAAAGAATTCTCGAAGCTTGAAGTACTTGGCTGTGTAATCTCCGGCCTCTGTCAGAACTGCATCATAGTCTGCAAGACACCAGGGACTCATCACTGGTCACTCATGTCCCCAAGACAGCTCCTGCAGCAGCAAGAAGAGCAACAAGAGAGGATGGGGTAGTGCAGTAAGCCCCCATCAGCAATTCTGGAAACATGACACTTTAGTGGGAGCTGTTTAGTCAGAACACTGAGAACAAGAGGGTCTCTGCCTGTGATTACAGTATGACTATAAATTTCTAGCTGTGAGTAGTTAAAAACAAGGTGCCTTTACTACCTCTGGAGACTCTCAAACTATAGGGGCCACAGCCACTCCATCTCAAGGGCCCAAGTTAGGAACAAGCTGCCCTCACCTAGGGAGTTTCCCCCTCCATGCACTAGCTGTGCCTCTAACGTCTTGTTCCTCTAGTTGTTTCCTAGGAGGCTTTTCAGTAGAGAAGTCAGCACACAGATATACAAGTGAGCATGGGGCTCTTACTGCTCTGGACGTCCAGAAATGACCATTCAGATAAACCTCCTCAGGTGCTTTAGGTTGTTGTTGTGCACCATCAAGTAGATTCTGACTTAAAGCAACCCCATAGAACAGGGTAGAACTGCCCCAATTTTTTCCATGGCTGTAACCCTTACAGAAGTAGACTGCCACTTCTTTCTCCTATGGCATGGCTAGTGAGTTTGAACTGCCAGCGTTCTGATTAGTAGCCAAGCACTGTGCTATCAGGGATTTTTTGGGTGCTTTATAGACAAAATGGGCCAGAAGTGAGAGACTCCCCATAACAAGCTCCAGACATGCAAGTATAGGGATAGCCAAGGTGAGTGGTGCTAAAAAGTACTTGCCATAGCTGGTAACATCAGACTTGTATTCATTAAAATGCATAGCTCCGCTCATGAAGCCAAAGTTTGTCCCTCCGTGGAACATGTAGAGGTTGATGGAGGAGCCAGCATCAATAATGGCAGACACAGTTTTTAAAACTTCTATGGGGGAGGAAAAAGGGATGTGCAGAGGAGTTAGGGTTCCAGACGAGTCAGAGTCCACGTAGGACCCTCATCCTTCCCAACCCGAAACTCAACTGTGTCGCTCTGTATTTCAGCTTCCACTAAAATCCCAATCACATATTAAGGGAGGAGGAAGAGAAGTGGCCCATGATCCCCACGGTCAGGGCCTTCTGGTTTTCCTGAAATCACAGTCAACTCCCCACTAACCATGCTGTGGAGGACCTACGATACAGTCTGGCCTCCCCACCTAAGGGACTTCCCATTGGGCTTTCTATTATCTTGGAAAACACAAAAGGGAACTTATAATAATCAATATAATTCTGACACCTGCCTCAATCCTATCTTTATCACTAATGATACAAAGATATCAGAAACATAAAGGAATGATAAATACATATTTTTTAAAAAAACCTCACTAATCAAAGAAATGCAAACTAAACAATAACCTATCAGACTGAGAAAAACTAAAAATAATTTTAGTACTCAATGTTGGTGAATCAGTGGGAAATGAATACTCTCATTCAGTATTGGTAAGTAGAAATTGCTACAATCTTTCTGAAAGGCATTTTTTGTTGTTGTTATGTGCTGTCGAGTCATACCTGACTCATAGCGACCCCTCCTTGGGTTTCCGAGGCAGTATCACTACAGAAGTAGGCTTGCCCAACCTTCCTTCCGAGGAGTGGCTGGGGGGTTTGAACCGCCAGCCATCTGGTTAGCAGGCAAGTGCCTTAGCCACTATGCTACCAGAGCTCCTCTGAAAGGCATAGTAGTAAATATATATCAGAATTGCATTGATCTAGCAATTCTAAGTCTAGGAACTAATCATGTTGTTGTTGTTATGTGCTGTTGAGTCGGCCCCGACTCATAGCGACCCCTCCTTGGGTTGCCGAGGCAGTATCACTACGGAAGTAGATTGCCCAACCTTCCTTCCGAGGAGTGGCTGGTGGGTTTGAACCACCAGCCTTCTGGTTAGCAGTCAAGTGCCTTAGGCACTATTTTACCAGAACTCCAGGAACTAATCATAGGGAAGTAATATGACAGGTATGCAAAACTAGATGTTCAAGGGTGCTCAGTGACCTGATGTTTAAGTTAACAACCAAAAAGAAAGCACTGGAAGCAACCAAAGTGTTCCATCAATAAGAGATTGAGTAAATGAAATATAGCATAGTCATCAATACTATGAGTTTACTGTATTCTTTAAAACAGTGATGCAAATCTATATTTAACAGTTTAGAAAGCTATCAGAATCTGTCATTAAGTGGTCGCATTAAGCAGGTCCAAGTCAAGTGTGCAAGCAGTCTCTGTGTCTACTTAGGTATGAACACAAAGCTGTAGACAAGGATATATGGAAAGCTGCCTGTGAGTATATACATAAATGTGTTTTCTCAGGGCTTTGGGATCTTCACTTCTTTTTTTCACTTTTTCTACTTTTAATTCACTTCAAATGCTAATACAAATAACCAGAATGTCAAGAGCTATTACAAAGAAGTAATACAGGAGCTTTGCATGCTACACCTAATTTCCACCCCAAAACCAAACCAAACCCACTGTCATCGAGTTGATTCTGACTCACAGCAACTCCCATTGGGTTTCTGAGTTGATAAATCTTTATGGAAGTAGATAACCCAGTCTTGCTTCTTCAGAATGGCTGGTGGGTTTGAACCACCAACCTTCTGGTTAGCAGTCAGATGCCTTAGGCATTCTGCTACCAGAGCTCCTTCAATTTCCATCAAGTAGCAGGTTATTTGAAACTTACTCTTACTTCCTAGGTCACCATGAATTCTGGATACAGGTACTATACAGTACTCACCAGAAGAATCCAAGATGTTGTGAGGGCCACCCCATGAGTCAAACCAGCCTGTCCAGTACTCCATCACCATTTTGGGCTGAATTCCCTGGGCACAAGATGTGAAGTTATACAGGCAGACAGGGCCCTTCCTGGAGGGGTATCAGGACTCTGTCCCCCAGCTCTTCCCTAGATACACACCCTTGCTATAGAGGACACTGAAAGCAGAGATTAGGGCCATTTACATCTGTAGCTTCTAGCCCACAGTATGGCTTCCTCCCCTGTATGTGTCATATGGAGGGGAGGCCACTGGAGTTGACGCAGCAGACCATGATGGCTTAACGTGATTTTAGTGTTGTACATAGTGCTAGCAATAAAGCATTGGTATCTGTCCAATTAAGTCTTTATTAAAATTTATCTCCTTCTCTGTAAGTCATTTCCCTCTTTAATTTGCTTTCTGGATCAAAACAAGGAAAGAGAATGTTGTAATCATGATCAGTCAGTATCTGCAAAGCATGCCCAAACACACACTTCAGGTGCTGCTTTTTCCTTAGCTAGAAGAGCCAGAGGGCTGCAGAGAGTAGGTCCTCTGCACAGACCAGCCTGGTCTAAGGAGAAGCTGAGTATAACTAGGCCAGAGCCCAGGGCTTTATAGGTTAGCTTTTCCATGTACAAGTTCTACAAGCAGACTATCTGGACTCATAGCTGGACTGGGGCACTCAATAAATCTTCAGTATTATTTTAGAATTCTGACTTTGGAACATGATTTTACTGAGAATGCATAAATCATTACCAAGAGTATGTCCTACTCTGCTATGTTTACATGACGCACTAGAGCACCTGGTGGGAGGTAGAAGGACAGATATGCTGGTATTTCAGTTTCTATACTAGACATCCTTACACATTCCTTTTCTTACTGTGTATCAAGCACCTTCTGTTTTCAACAGCCTTTCACTCAGAGGGCAACATCATGCAGAGCAACAAAACCCTGTCAAGCAGATCTGGTGTTATAAGCTTTTAAAAGATAAAGTACCTGCCATACCCAAGTAAAAGGCTCAATAGTCACAGTAATTACTTTAGCAAGATGTGGGGCTTGATTATCTACACACCCTGTCTACATCCCAAGAAAAGGGCATGCTGAACCATTTTTAAGTCACTAAAATGGGAATGTAGCTTTTGTTTATTTGTTTTGTTTTTCCTATAGAGACTTTGTTATTAAATCTTAAACAGGACAAAGACAAGGACATCATCCAGATGTGGGAAACCATCAACATGTAATGTACCCATTACAGAGACCAATGGAATCAGGTGAATCACAGTCATGGAGTTCATTATATATGACACAGGACAAAGAAAATCATCACAAGATCATGACTGGTGGCAGGTCAATTCATCACTGTCACAGAATTACAGAAGTGGGAAAAGGACCATGACTGGGATATGTACATAATTGTAGGTTTAAAAAGGTTACAGGATTAGTTCTGGGGTTTAGATTATTTGGGTACATGGTGGTCAAGTATGACTCATTATTATGACCAGGATCCCCACCTTTAACTCAAATCGGGTAACACTAAATGTGCAGGCAATTTTCTTGGTTCTCTGTGTGAGCACCTTTTTGCTTACTAGCTAATCTTTCAATAACACTCTTCCTGTGGGCAAACTGACCCTCCCTGGGCTTATCCTACACTTGTCTAAGCAGAGCCACATTGTTGGTCTAATGGCCAGCAAGCCATTAAACATAACATAAATAACTGAAATGTTGTCTGAAATTATGTCAAGACTCAAAATGGAGTTAGGACGCCCACTGTCGACCACAATCAGGTGTCTTAGGATTTAAGCTCTAATGCATTTCCTCCTCTTGATTATGGATTTTATTTAAAATTCTATAATCACACTTAGGTTGGTACGCTTGCTTCTGCACAGACAGGTTGATAGTACTTGCTTGCTTCTTTTAAAATTAATTAATTAATTTGTTTGTTTATTTTTTGAAGGCTCTTTTAGATGGCTGCTTGTTTTACGACAAGTTTTTAAGACCCTAGACACTATTCTTTTTGATAGTCACACACCATCTGGTTTCTTCACCATACTTTACTACAGCACCCAGCTTCAGTGATTATCTTATGAGGGTAAGATGGTGTGAGGCCACACTAAAAGAACTACTTGGCCTGTGGTTAGTTAACAAATCTTAAAGTGAAAGCTCAAGGCCATAGCTGTAGGTATGATTCACTTCATGGGCAGCATATTAGCTTTCTGAGAAATTACATTAGAAGTAAACTTCATACAACATTTGATAATTCTAATAATAATAATAATAATTACAATCCCCAAACCAAACTCACTGCTGCTGAGTCAGCGCTGACTCACAGCGACCCCTCCATGGGTTTCTGAGGCAGTATCTCTATGGAAGTGGATTGCCCAGTCTTCCTTCCGAGGAGTGGCTGGTGGGTCATTAATTCAGTAAATAGCATAGATTAAAACACTAATTAGAAAAATATAATGGAACATTTTTCAGTTAAAATACATGGAAAGGTTTACCTATGCAAATATATTATACTGCTTAATAAATTCTAACTGATAGAACAAAACTATTTCAAAAACAATGAGAGTTAGGTGCTGCAGTGCAGTGACTTACTTAATATGGCCCTTCTAGTTATAGTCTGTAACACCCAACAAATGACTGGGTGGTGGTGGTTGTTGTTGTTTTTACATGCTGTCGAGTCATCTCCAACTCATAGAAACCCTATGTGCAACAGAATGAAACATTGCCCAGACGTATGCCATCCTCACAATCTCTGCTGTACATAAGCCCATCATTGCAGCCACTGTGTCAATCCATCTCATTGAGGGTCTTCCCCTTCTTCGCTGACCCTCTACTTCATCAAGCATGCTATCCTTCTCCAAGGAATGGTCTCTTCCCCAAGGAATGGTCCCCAACAATATGACCAAAGTAAGTGACACAAAATCTGCCCATTCTCATTTCCAAGGAGTATTCCAGCTACACTTCTTCCAGGACATATTTGTTTGTTCCTCTGGAATTCCATGGTATTTCTAGTATTCTTTGCCAACACCATAATTCAAAGGAACTCTGGTAGCATAGTGCCTAAGGCACTTGACTGCTAACCAGAAGTCTGGTGGTTCACCCCACCCAGCCACACCTCGGAAGGAAAGTTGGGCAATCTACTTCTGTAGGGATACCACCTTGGAAAACCAAGGAGGGGTTGGTATGAGTGGGGATCAACTCAACAGCACATAACAACAACATAATTCAAAGGTATTAACTTTTCTTTGGTCTTCCTTATTCATTAGCCATGTTGCACATGCATGAGAGGTGATTAAAAGTACTATGGGTTAGGAGTGCCTTTGTCTGCAAAGTGACATCTTTGCTCTTTAAATAGGTCTTTTGCAGCAGATTTACCCAGTGCAATACAACATCTGATTTCCTCATTGCTGCTTCCATAGGTGTTGATTGTGAATCCAAGTAAAATGAAATCCTGGACAATTTCCATCTTCTCTCCATTTATCACAGTGCTGATTATTTGTCCACTTATGAGGATTTTTTGTTTTCTTTATGTTGAGGTGTAATCTATACTGAATGCTGTAGTCTATATTCATCAGTAAGTGCTTCCAGTGTCATCTACACTTTCTGCAAGCAAGACTGTGCCATCTGCATATCACAGGTTGTTAATGAGTCTTCCTCCAATACTGGTGCAACTTCATATAGTCCAACTTCTCAGATTATTTGTTCAACATACAGATTGAGTAAGTATGGTGAAAGCATATGACCCTGATGCACACCCTTCCTGATATTAAACCATGCAATATCCCCTTGTTCTGTTTGAATGATAGCCTCTTGGTCTATGTACAGTTTCCTCATGAGCAATTCCAATGTTCTGGAATTCCCATTCTAAGCAATGTTATCCATAATTTGTTATGCCTCTGTATTGTCAATGAAACACAGATAAAACATCTTTCTCGTATTCTTAGTTTGCAGCCAAGATCCACCTGACATCAGCAATGATATCCTTTGTTCCACATCCTGTTCTTAATCCAGCTTTAATTTATGGAAGTTCCCTGTCAATACACTGCAATGATACTGTTCAATAATTTCCACTTTCTGTTGGATTGCCTTTCTTTGGAATGGGCACAAATATCAGTCTCTTCCAGTCAGGTCGCCAGGTAGCAGCATTGCATCTATTTGTTGAAACATAACAATAGGTATTGTAAATAAATGGAGCCTTGTTTTTGCCATTTCCTTCAGTGTAGCTATGACTTCTTCCTTCAATACCACTGGTTCTTGATCATAAGCTACCTCCTGAAATGAATGAACATTGACCAGTTCTTTTTGGTACAGTGACTCTGTGTATTCCTTCTATCTTCTTCTGATGCTTCCTGCATCATTCAATATTTTGCCCATAGAATCTTTCAATATTACAACTCAAGGCTTGAATTTTTTGTTCCATTCTTTCAGCTTGAGAAATGCTGAGTGTGTTCTTCCCTTTTGGTCTTCTAACTCCAGGTATTTGCACATTTCATTATGATACTTTATTTTGTCTTCTTGAGCTGCCCTTTGAAATATTTTGTTCAGCTCTTTTATCTTGTCATTTCTTCCATTCACTTTAGCTATTCTCCATTCAACAGCAAGTTTCAGAGTCTCTTCTGACACCCATTTTGGTCTTTTCTTCCTTTCCTGTCTTTTTAATGACCATTTGCTTTCTTCATGTATGATGTTCTTGATGTCATTCCACAGCTCATCTAGATTTTGGTCATTGGTGTTCAATGCATCAAATCTAATTTTCAGATGGTCTCTGAATTCAATTGTTTTGGTCATCTGGTGCCACTCTAACCAAAAATACCACAAGTGGATGGTTTGAACAACAGAGATTTATTCTCTTATAGTTTAAGAGGCTAGAAATCTGAGTTCAAAGTGCCAGATCGAGAGGCTGGATTAAGGCCCCTCAACCTTGTGCTTCAGCTTTGCCTCTTGTTCCTGGCCCACTGAAGCTGGAGGCATCTCTTAACTCAGGCAGTGTCTAACCACTGAGTCTGACAAACCCAAGGTCAAAAAAAAAAAAAAAAAAGCACAGTCCCAAGATTATCAAGCAACATGGT